GTTCGGTAATGCTATAAAGTTTCCTTTTTGTCTAAAGGCTGAAATAAAAAAGGTTCAAACAAACCATTTTGTAAATGTGGGGAGATACAATATATTGTTTAATATTTAAATCAATTCTTTTAAATCCAAAACAAATGTTTTCTGGTGTGCAATACGATAAAATCACATTGATAAACTGAACGTATTAAATAATATTAATATATGTATAATATTTAGAATCGATTGTTTGCTTAACATCGTGTGTGGAACGTCTTTGCAGTATTATTATTCTACCATACATTCGTTGTGTACATTTTAAAACTGCCAATTCATCGTGTAATTGAGTTTATTTTAAACATGATATTATAATCGTATTCAGTTCTTGTAATGCATAATAAGACTACAAATCACGGAGGAAAGCAGAAAAATTATTTATCTAGATGAACGATAGTGGTGAATATTTGTACGATGATTTACAATGCAGGATTCATGACCCAGAACGTTGCGTCATATGGATTACCAACCCCCGACAATACACGTAGGCAGAATATTGGAATCAGTAAACAGATATTGTAGTTATTACATATAAGACATCGAAGAGCTCGAGAATGGAATACTTTTATATAAGGGGTTTGTTTTTTTTGAAAAAGTTGATTTGCATCCATTCGCGGTGTTTATTAGTATTCAAAAACACGTTTGTTTGCAGTTGTGCGTTTTTCATATTATTTTATCACTGAATATGACGTGTTTTATTACACTTAAATATTTCTCGGTAACAAATAATTGTTTTTAATTTTAAGTTCAGTACTAAATAGTATTATGGTCATAACATGAAGTATATACATTATGCGTACCTATTATAGGTTATAGTATAGTAATATATTATAATATATTAAATTCTCAGCGGAGTGATGAATGTATTGATTTTACAATGGTGTGAGTGTGTTTTTTTTTTGTGTCCGTCATCACCTTTTAAGACAATAAAAATGCTTAGATTTTGTTCAAAATTTAAAATTCCCAATAGTTTTCAAAGGCGCGGGGAAAAATAAAATATAATAATTAAGGAAAAACAGGAATTTTTACGCAAATCAGTTTTGACAAATCGATTTTGGTTTTAGGTATAACTCTAAAACAAATGACCGTAGATACATGACATTTTCACTGGTTGCTTATATTAACATTTTCTATACTCTATAAAATATTCAAAATATATTGATTTGTTTTGAACTGTTTACGGACATTTTCAGATTCCAATTTTTTTAGTTTTTTTTTTTATGAATGTCAATAAAATTGTATTTGTTGAGTAAAAAAGCCTGAAAATTTAATACAAGGCTCTAAATATATTGTTACAATGATATTTGAAAAATATTAAAATCTTAGTCTTAGTCTCAATTTTTTTTATAAGCATTTAAAGTTCGAATTTTGACGAAAAGCGTTAAAATTACAAATATATAATTATTTCGAGTTAGAAATTCCTAAACATTTTTCTTTTTAAATTTAAGATTTTAAGTTTTCATATAGGTGAGGTTATCTACTTTTATCAAAAAAATAAATTTCTACAAGAAAGTCAAATTAAACTTTTATGAGCGTTTGAAGTTCAAATGTTCACAGCATTGGATATTCACTCGATTTCAATGACGAATTCAAAAACGAATAACCGTAGGGACTTGAAATTTATATCATATGCTTATTTTATCAATTCCTATACATTATATTATTTTATAATATTAATTCAACTTACCGGCTACCGTATTAATAATAATAGTTATAGCAATATAAATGTAATATAAAATATACTCACTGACAAACCGCCAGAGCACTCAGAATCGTTTTTCGTATAGAATGATATTATATTATTGGATTCAAATTTAATACCATCCATTATACAGTCATTAGGTATATACTATAATTTAAAAACTTATTACCTTTTAAATCATCAAGACGAATCTATGTGACTAAGTCAGTTTATAGAAATTAGTATACATTTGCAGTTTTCATAGTTAGTATATTTTTTTTAAATAGTACGGTTATCTACTATTCATGCTCATAATAAATTACTCATGAATAATTTATTAAATAAAAAATTAACTATATTTGTGTATCCTCAATTCATTTAAATTAAAATAATTGATATATTTAAAGAAACATTTTGTGTAGATTGTAGTTAATATTAGTCGTTATAATGTACGTATGAAGAAACGGATTCTGGTAAAAAAAGCTACATGTACAGGAAAGTATAATATGATGGCGTCTTTCCGAGTTTGTAATCGTACATACCCATTTTTTTACGTTGTTTTTTCGTTTACCAGCTCTTGACTAATGCTTTAAACCTTATATAACTGTATAAAAACTAATTTTCGTATGTATGGCGATTTATGTGTCACATAATAGGGCATTAATAAAATATAAAAAATTCAAATATTTCTATATTTTTATCTCAGATTTTATATTACACATAAACGAAAATTCTGATTTTTTAAAACTCACTTTTACTACCAAGTAAGACATAGGTAGGTACCTAAAGCTAAAATTCTTTAAAACAACAAACTCGAATATTATGAATATAGTTATTATTAAAAAACACTATTTCAACAAGTTGGTTAAATTATTTATCATGATGGTTATGTCTTAGAAATGGATTTTTTAGGTGGGTACATTTAATTAATTAAGAAACTGTGAAATTAATTATCGAATTTAAATTAATGACATTTAATGATAGTTAATGAACGGAGTTTTAAAAATTAGTCAATTTTATGGTAATTATCTTATCCACCTGTCATTTAATTTGAAAAATGTTTTATCATCGAATAAATGGCAGTACGTGTGAAAACGTCCCAAGGATGATATTCACCGGATTGAGCATTTGTTCGATTAATACTTATTCGTGTTATAACTTTAACTTAATAATCTAACTATCGCGCATAACAGTTAATACTTATCCACATTTGTTATTACGAGTATTGAATAAGTGCCAATAACATGAACTATCTTTATACCATTTTTAACTTACGGACATGTGAAAAACTATACAATCAAAATATTTTTGGCAATGGTTAGCAATAGTTGGCAGAAAAGTATTTTGTGAAACCATTAAAATTACTAAATAGGGTTTCAAGTAGATAATTTATATAATTAATGAACTTAATGTATATTTTAAATAATAACTATGCGTACTGCATAATATACACATTTATAAAGCTATCGAAAAACATATTATATATGTTATGTGCACTTAATACATTTGTATAAAATATATGTTTTATGATTGGTAAAAAATGATGTGAAAGGAATTTATGAGAACTTGAATATAAGACCATACCATAGTCGAATGATAAACATTTATTTTTAATTATTGTACCTAATTGGTAGTGACCATTTAATAAATAAATTAAAACTAAATGTTATTAACAAGTCTTATAATAATTAATTTTTGTATTCCCGATTGAATAATGATACGTATACTGTCGTATTATAGTATAATAATATAATTAGTTGATTTTTTTTTTTTCATATGCCGCCTTAATACTGGGAGTGTAGGCCTTAAGTCCTAGCTTGGTCTCCTGTATAGCAACATTACAATTTGATAAACAGAGAGATTTAGTAGATTTTATGCCATGTCTGGTTTAGGGGGATGCAAGTCTTACTCTCTAGACAGTTTCCTGCCAAATAACTAATAATAGGGACATGCCACGACTGGGTTCGTAAGTTCCACCTTTGTCCAATCTGCCACCCTTTGATTAAAGTGTTGATTCAACTTTATAACTCGAATAATAATATTAATAATTTTGAATTATGTTTTAGGTGGTTTTTACTTTGATATCAACTCTTCGGTTGGTAAGTACATTGCAATAATACACAGATTTTCATATTTTTAGAAAGAAGATTTTGAATTTTTTTTTTTTCTAATCAGAATCTCTTAAGATTTGATTGGATGCCAATGATAAATTAATCATGTCAATATATACAAAATACAGGTTACCTATACCGTATACTCATTAAATTATTAGATACAACATTTTATTACACGTTTGAATATTTAATATTATATTAATTAAAGTAATTGATTAAGTAATCTAACTATAGACACTATACAATTTGTGATTTAGTTCAATTGTTTGAATATTATTAATTCAGTGCAATTTAATTTTAGTTGCCAATAATATGATTACGTGATTACAAACAAGTTACAACTCATCAGGTGATGACTTTATTATCATTTGCATAATATTTTAATAAAATTATAAACAAAATATATGGTTGAACCTTGAACATCATCATTGTATGTATATACTATACATTATACAATACAAAATGCTTCATAATATCTTCTAAATTCTTAAATATAAGCCAAAATATCATCACTGGAATAAGGTTTCATGAAGTCATAATAAAAAAAATAAACTTTTGGAATGAATAACCTTTATTGTATAATATTATATGCATTTATAAAATTTTGATTGTATACATTTCTAAATAAAATAGATTTAAATAAATAATGTTTGTAAAATTCAATATTTAGATTCTGAGCGTATCAACGAGTTGATTGATCCATAAACATATTTATCTTAATAATAATAACAAATCATAATATTATATATTAAGCATTGTATAAGAGGCATTTAATGTATGATTTGAAAGATACGAAGTAATAAAAATATACTAGGAATAATTTTAATTAAAAAATTTTTAATGAGTTTTTTTGTTTTCGAAAAACCAACCTAGAAATAAAAAATGTTGATAATCATGGTAAATTAATTTTTTTATTTATTTAAGAACATTTTATTAAGAAAATATTAAACGAATTTTAAAAGATTCGTGTGACGTATGATTTGATTATGTTTTTTTTTCACGAGCACTTAAAATTTGAAAAAAAAAACTTTAGTAAACTGCATTACTCTATATTTTATGTTTGTTAAACTTCAGAGATATATCCATTTAAAAGTTTTTAGGTCAAATACAAAAGTGTAAATAGTAAGTAGAAAATGTTTTATTATACTGCATAAGCTAGTATTACACTGAAATTATTTGATCCCCAATCCAGATACTTCGAGAAAAATGACATCCTTGGGTATTGTTGTCAAAATTTCAATCTTTCTATAGTACAGTTCATCAGCTCTTGAACATAAAACATAAATTATTTTAGTAAAAATAAGATTTACTTAATATAATTTATAATGGTTAGAATAGGAGTTGTTAGAGTAATTAATATAATACATAGTATCTTATCTGTCTATAAAACTATTGTTTATAAACAGTGACATTTTTTTTTATAAGTGTTAAACATGATGTACGCGTATATTTATCTTATACTGATTTAACAACAAGTTGTACGAAAATATATTGTTCAACTCTAAAGAAAATTCTGTTAACATTTTTTTTCATATAAATAACATGTACATTGTGCATTGTAACAAATCAAATGCACATGGAATATGGTCAGTCTTTTATAAACTTTTTTTTTATAAATCAATTCTCTATGTTTAAAAGAGTGTTGAAGTAAAACATATTTAAGTATGAAAACCAATTAACAGGGAATACTTAACACAGTTTGATATTTCATAAATATTTTCAATTTTTAACTGATTCCGGAAGAAAGATATTTTTATCGCTGTTCGATTATATGTCTAGGTTTTTTCAACTTTAAAAGAATTGGAATATCATAAATATTAAAATGTTTTGATCACTCTTTTAGTCTTAGATCTTTACTTGCTAACATCATTGAAGTTGATAGTGAAAAATGTTTTGCCATTCTCGCAAAAATCTATACCGCATAATATGTTTATGAAATTTATCCACGATTGATTTCTAGTTTAAAATCATGATGGAATCATGCAAAATATTATAATTAATTTAATTATTTATTTTTGAGCAATATTTCGATGTAAAAATATATCCATTCGTCATGATTAAAATTTAAAACAATAGTAGGTTATTCAAAATGTTATCATAATAGAGTGAGAGCGTGCTTAGAATAATATTAAGTTTTATTTGAAGCAGTCGCGAGGAACACATTATTTTATTGAAGTTGGTTAGGTTACAATGTTAGGTTTTTTATACGCATGGGCTTTTATACCAATAACCGGATTCTTTTCCAAATTTGATTATTTTCGTCCCACAACAAATAATAATTCACCCACCATGTTATGGTTACTTTTTCAAAAGCGTGCGAGAGTTGTAGCAATGGTATGTAGGACTTCTGTATAGCACACACTCTAATGATCATTTATATTTCACACGCACGCACATGTAAACACATAATAATATAGCCTATGTTTAACTCATTAAAAGTGGTCTGCTCCAACTCTCTTAAATTTTATTGTTCAGAATTAAACTTCATATGGATTCAAATTAAGATAAATATATTATGATATAGTTTAAATAAAAATATCTGTTGCACTAATAATTATTTAATTCTGTATGTGGATATAGTCGTGAATGTAATGAATTTAAACATTTTACGGTTCAACTAATGCATAATATGTGGTAGTTTGAATTTTTAATTACTATTCATTAAAACTTTAAAGTAGACATTCTACATTGTATTCTTGTAGACATTAACACCAGTTTGTAACTGTAAATTTTTATACTGACTAATAGCTTTTTCTTTTTAATCTTATGAAAAAGAGTGATCTGGAAAAAGCTTTTAAGTTTATCCACAACTTTTTTAACGCTAAAATGTCAAAAACAAATTACGTTTTTTAGAAAATGATAAAAACTTTGTTCACGATAAATTCAATCAGCTTTAAATCTTTTTACAAGTCATTAAATTTTCCTTTAAACATGTGAATGATGATGGATATTAGTCACTTTGTATACAAAAATATTTCAAGATGTCTAAAAGTTATTTGCTTAAGATGATGATCAAATAAAATAAAATAATAAAAGTATTAAATTACAAAATGCTTATTTCTTATATTGCTTATATAATTAAAATATTTTAGATATTTTGGTTTGAAAAAACTAAAAAAAATTGTGTAAAAAAAAACATTAATTATTAATGTAATTTTACTTAACACATAGATTAGTATTATATAATATATTAAACTTTGTTTTTTTTTTTGTACGAACAGTTTAACAAACAGTTAGACAATGTACTTATAAAGTAATTAAACTCTGATAAATTTATTTCTAGTACAGATCTGGATTCTAAAATTGGATTAGATCATCGAAAATAATTTATTATTTTTATTTACCGTTTTTAGTTGAAATATATTATTTGAGCATGCCCAATCATTTTTAAATTGTATGTGCCTAAATATTTTAAATCAATATGATTTCACTATTTTTTTTTTTTTTTTAAATTTGGAAGTCAGTTAAACGGACTCACTTGGGTTTAAACGTGATTGTGAGTGGGGTCGGCCTGGTCGATGCGACACCATCTGGTGGTGATACTGTGAATACTTCGTCTGCGGATCGCTCAAAAAAACGTTCAGGACCTATAGACAAAATCAAAAAATCGTATAAGCGATGAATATCGTCGAGCGATGAGCTCACAGGCGATTTGATGCCCAACAAGGTGGAAACCGGGTCGGCAAAAGTTAATCTATACGTTTATTATTTCACTTGTGAGTCTGTGCTGTGAATGTATATGCGTGTACCTGGATAAGAAGATAACATCACGTTTATGCTTTTAGTCTCCGTTACGACCACTTGACCAAAATTTATGTAGCTCGTCGACAGCTTTAGTACGGGGAAGTATATGTGCATTTTGAACGTAGCAACCATCTAAACAAAATACCATAATAATGTCATGTACCATGAATAATAATAATAATAATAATAATAATAATAATAATAATAATAATAATAACTAAATTGATAGATGGATAGCGATATTTACGTTAATAATATAATACATACATAGTATCTATCTATAGATATTTTTAATACGTAAGGGACGTTCAATGATTAATAATTCCTAGAAGAAATGTGTATAGTTGTTAAAGATAAATTGTTGTTATTATCAAAAAATTTGTGAATTATGAGAAAAATATAATAAATAGTATAGTATATAAAATATAAATCATCTTTTAATATCATATTGCTAATAATAGTATGATCATCGAGTGCTAAAATATGCTCAGTTATTGTTTTTTAGTAGAAATATAAATAATGTTTAAAATTATTAAACAAACAACTTAATATTCCATAAAGACAAAAAGTATAAACGATCTTGTTTTATTATTTTTATTAATTAATTTATAAATTTTAATATGGCGTCTTTATTAATTTCTTACTCATTACATGCTATATAGTATAAAATAAATAATACACCTTCAAAAATAGTTTGTAGGGAACAAAAATTACACGTTCTTAAATAATATTTGCTCATGTTTATTATTACTATACCGTATTATGGTAAACTATTGTTTTTTGAAACCACATAGGTCAATTCAACCATAACCAGATGATTTTTATGTAGATGTAAAGGATGACAATCCGGGAAACAACCGATTGTTTTGGGAAATAGGTAGTAGCTTTAAATTGAATTTTGGACCGAATGTTACAAAAATATCATTTTATTATAAACATAATATAGTCCAAGATTTAACCTAAATGTTTCTATAAAAAGTCTAAAGTGTAAACCTTCAATAGAATCGAAAATATAAATTCTATACAGCTAAACCTACTTATATTTTGTAATAATTTGTGTACCCCAGAGATCAAAATACATAAAGAATACTTGATATGGGTTAAATTTAACGAGTGACACTTTTTTTGGAGTCCCTAGAAACCATATATAAATCATTAAATTATTTGTGGAATTAATATTTATTACAATTTGCACTAAATATTTTAAATACCTACTTTATAAATAAGTTAATATTAAGCATTTCAAATACAATTATGAATCATGTTGTTCCTTTTATTTAACTTAAATGTTTTTATATAGACTTAAACTAATACATTTATTTTATTTATTTCTTTGATTTAACTATGAAATCAATTTTAATACTAAAAATGAAAACTGACATTATTTTTCGGTACTTAGATTTAGTTTTTTTTTTTTTAAATTTAGATACCTTAGGTTTAAAATAACTGTTTTCATAAACAGCGTTTAAATATCCTGTTTTCTCTAATATTCTGGGCGATGTTAATTCAGTAGGCATTTTTGGTGGATGAACTTGTTTTCTAATTATAATAGCTTGCAGTTCGATCTAAAGGCATATATCGTTTAATATCATAAACAGTAAACATGTTATGCGAAGGAACACTAATAATGTTGATATTATTATTCAAATATGTGTAGTAAAATATTATAATACTCAATAATTAGAAATTAGAAATAATAACAACGTATAAAACATTATATTATTTAATAAAATTGTATACTTCGACCAAATCCTTATGAAACAAATTAATATGATCTTTTCCGGAACGAATACCACATCTTAGTGATCTCAAACTCTTTATAAAGAACGGACTACCGATTTCGAACGAAAGGTTTCCAGGATATCGTAAGTCATTACACATGGTAAACAACCGAGTTACCGTATAATTCTCTGATTGACTGTTATACATTTCCGATGCTGACACCTAAAAATTATCATAGCTATATCCCTCTGACGTATTCGGCCAAGATGTATTTTCTTGGAAGGAACAAGCAAAAGAGTAAATGATGCGTTCGCGCAATAAAAAACGATGTAACAAATGCCTCCAAGATTGTTTCCTTCTATCCCATTAAAATCATTCTTATGTTATTTTTTAATGACACGTAACATATTTTATTACTTGGAAAATATTATCCGACTCTCGTATGACTAAGTTTGGTTGTATCGAATGTCTTGTTTCCGAGTAAAGTTTAACAACTGTGGATTTCATTTTAAATCCGTCTTTTCGTATGCAATATTTTCTGAAATAATTACAGAAATATTATATTTTACTACTACCTATATAAATATGACTTAGATAATATCATTATTAGGTTTTTAGTTAGGACCTATTTCAATCAACTTATCTAAATATTTCAAAATGTTTATAAATATATCATATTTGAGTGATATATTTCAGTATTTGAAACCCATAACATAATGTTATTATTATTTAAGATGAATATAATAGTAAATATAAGTATAAATTGGTAGGTAGCCAAATTGTAATGTTTTAGCTATCTATTTAGCTGTACTTCAAGAACGTCTTGGAACTTATAGTGAAATATAATATACATGCTGAACGTTGATAATAATATATTATTGTTATTTGTAGGTAACTATGTTTATAGTTTTGGATTTTGATATTTATATAATTAAAAAATTAATTTCTATACACGTTAACAGAGTTCTAAGTTATGGAAATAGGTTGATGTGATACATATTTTTAAGTATGCTCTCTAGTACATAATATTATTGATAGCGATGTGCAATGTGCATGGCATCATTATTATTACTATCGACAAAATAATTTTTATTGTTTTATAGATAAAATCTGTGGTTCATAATAAACTTCAATAATTTTATTAAACTTTTGTGTTAACAATTTACACAGTTAAATATAAATTTTAATTGACGTAAAATCATATATGTACCCAGATGGTTCAAGAGCAGTCACTATTCCAACCGCTTTTCCATTTACTGTATTATTTTGTTCATTACGGTTTATGGATAGTTCTTTAGTCCGATCTAAGGAAAACGTTACATATCCTAGTGTTTTTGGTTCTAATTTCAAAATAATAGGCTCGACCTGAAAAAAAAAACAGTTCATTTTTGAAAATAATAGTTAATTGTTCAATCATAATATGCAAATAGTAGTTATAATTAATTGTATATATATAATATAATATTAATCATCACAGCATTGAGGTTAGGTTAGGTAGGTAGTAGAGTATATTGATTATTTATATTTTATATTCTGGTTTGTGCGATCCTTAAAAGCTTGGGAAAAATGCCTTGATGTTTGTTCATAAAATATTATTGAATATTAATATTAGTTATAATTTATAATACTATAGATAGTTGTTACTATTTATTACACACACATACACACACACACACACACACACACACACACACACACACACACACGATTTTGCATAATGGCAAGAGCTGCTCTATTATAAAAAAAAAATAATGTAGGTTAACGTATTCAGTCGAAAACTGTGGTATTGTCAAGCGTTCTTAATTTTCTGAAAATAGATTAATCATGTGTGCCATTAGGATTTAATGATTATAGTAAGAGGTTTGACGTTGGGTATTTTTCTAATACGTTTATATCACGTGTAATGGATGTTCCGTATAATTTCATCTATTAAATTCTGGTGGACCATGTCTTAATTATATTTATTTATTTTTATACAATAAAATATTGTAGGTATTGAATACTCTTCTGTTATATTCTCTTCTTGTATTTTTATATTTTTAAAACATGCATTACATTTTATGTGATTGTAATTAGGTACATTTTGGCCCAACGCCTATAATATTATTTTAAATAAGATAGTTGTATCATAAGCATTGTTTACGAGCAATATAATTCATTATAATACTGATGGACAAATTCTTATTTTTAGATACATTAGATTTTCAATAAATATACAGGTGAAATTAACGAATATAATTGTGTTTCGTCATTAACTATTAGAAATATTTATCGAGTATATGACTAATATGAATCATGTAATACAGTTTTGGTTTTCCAACTCGAGTCAAATGGTTTTTAAAGTGAACTACAGATTTATTAGATTAACAGTAGATATAGGAAAACACATTTATTAGACACATTTTATATTGCTTATTATTCCAATTATAATTTATTTAATCAGCACACAGTCAAATAAAGCTTGTATGATGAAAACAACTCAAAATATGCATTAAAGTTTATAAACTATCACGAAGGTGATGTGAATAATATTTAGAAAGTGATAATATCTTAAAACTTATTACTAAATTATATTATTCTATAGAATGATGAAGTGGGGTCAATTAACTTACTATAAAATATCGAGGATTTTCTAACCCGTCGTAACTGGTAATTCTCAAAGACCAATGGTCTGGATAGTCAGGAGTTAATGTGTCAATTACTACTCCAAACGGTTTATTTTCTTTACTTTCGTTATATATGCGCCAAGATATTTTGACCGGAATTTCACTATTATTCAAGATTTGTAATCGGTTTTCTGACTCCATCGAGTAGAGGCTGAAGCTTAACAAATAATTCACTTATGTCAGAATGATGTGTTACCAACTTAATACATGTACAGTGGCTTGAAATAGTTGTCATAAAATACATTAAGTTTCTATACATTATTATACTCATGTATGCAAAAAAACATTCTTTTATCACACTTTACTCAATAAACATAATAATTTTACATTTTTTTCTCTAATTTTGAGTATTTTTATCAACACATAAGTAAAATAAAAATACAGATCAGTAAATTTACCTCTTTATAGGTTTGTATTGAACACAGATGGTACTTTAGAAAGGTCATTATTTATATTTTCTGTTAGTTTTCAGAGAAATTCAAAAACTCTTAATAATCCGTAGAAATACTTTGAAATTTATGGCCTACCATCTTTACCTAACATGTATTTTGGTTGTTTTGTTACTGGTTAGTTTATAAGATTATTCAGGAAACTAGATATTACCATTTTATCTACCTACATTAAATTATTTAAAATTAAATTAAATTTAGGTAGGTAACCCTAATTAAGAGGAGTTATTAAATTTAATGTTGTAACAATTTTGATGAAGTCTATCAGTTTGTCGATTTAAAGTACTTCAAACAAGTACTATACTATACATTTAGAACTCAAGTAGTCAAATACTCTCATAAATGGTATAATATAAAATATTCACCTTTTCAATAAAAAAAGGCTTTTCGAAGCTTAAAAAACGTTCTATAAATACCAGGGTATACTGCGATATGTTTCCCTAATTGAATTCAATACGGTCTTGGGTCAATTTTAAAAATTTTATCTGCATTAGTTATAGTGTTTATATGCATTAGAGTTTCAATAACTAACAACATATTATACCTAGGTACTGTTAAAAATGGACAAGATGAAGAATAGGTTATTATTTAACAGTTTTCACATGGGATAACGGAATAAGATTGATATACTTTTTTGTGTCGAACAATTTAGAGTAAGTTAAGTAGAAAAAAGTGTTTTCTAAAAAAAAAAAAATAAAATAACGGTATTTGTGATTTAGATGCTATACCTTTCTACACGATTTTGAAAAAAGAAATATGACAGACTAATGATATACTTATTTTTATGTGATATTTCAAATAAGTTGTCGTTGGCCTATATGTTTGTTGTCCCAGTTGACTTCAAATTGAATTACGCTGTATAGTGACTTACTTGATGGTTGGTTTGTGAACGTCTTTAGCTAAAGGATATTCTATGGGGAACGTAATAGCTTTGATGATGAGTGGTATGCGGATGGCCGGTAGAATATCGAGTCCTACGTGTAATTCAATAGTCACCACGTCCTCATATCGACCCCAAGTCGTGGCCAATACCCATACGGACACTTTGAATTCATCCTGCCCGTACGAAATCTCATCATCTCTTTCTATCCATATCGAACAACGTTTTATCGATGCAATTTCCGTGCCATCTCCGTAGGCGTCTACAGAGTAAATAAGATTATAATTTTGAAATTGCTTATTTTACTACCTGCCCAGTAAAATGTATTGCATACGCTATATGTAGATTGTAGGTATAGATCTACACGACAAAGTCTAAATAAATAGCTCTCTAAATTGTATTCACGAAACTAAGAGTAACCATCTGTGTTAATATTATAATGATGAGACTAAGAGTAAAATTACATTTATATAACTAAACATGACATAGTTAAATTGAAGGAAATTATGAAATTCTTAAAAGTAAAATGTCAATAGACATTATTTTAATTTTGTTTGTTAATTTTAAAACTAACTGTACAGCGAATAATAATTATATAATATAAATTAGATGGATATACAAAAATAATACATAATATAGTAACATGTTTTAAACATTAATGGTTTTTTTTTAGTTTTATGATTCTAGCAAATGTTATTAGAGCAGTTCTCAAATTTAAATTTAAACCCATAGTGAGTAATAGTTATGTACATGAAAATATGATTGGAATCTTTGAAGTTGAAATATTATTATTATTCACAACAATACACAATAGAGAATTACATTTTGTTGTAACAGCAGTTGTCGAAATTAACTTTCATATTGTTTCTTGTTTATGCATTGTTACTATATACGTCTAAGTACACAATAATAGAAAATACAAACTAATAAAATATTATACATAAACACTAATAACTGCAAAGATTTGTTACACGCATATTTTATTTGCTCATCTAACCTATAAATATTTGTTTCACCGTTAATATTATGCATTTATATAATTTTATATACACATAGTTAAGATACGAGATTTATGTAGAAATGTAATAATGTACTAATAAAATAAACAATTATTAATAATATAATATTATAATTTAAATACAAAACTCATAATAACATACCTAACTAAAGATTATATATTAATAAACCATAATAGGTATGGAAATGTTACTCAACTTTTATTCTTTTGTTTTAAAAAGTCAACCAGAGAAACTAGTCGTAACTATATTGAAATATTTTTTAGAAGTTTACTTATGATCAGGCCTTAATTAAAATTATATCTTTAAAATTACAGTTTTGTTATTTAAATATTCAAAGTACATACACTAGAACTTAGTATTTTTATTAAATTAACTTAACTATTATAATACAATATTATATAATATTATATGTATTTATTAAACATACCTATTTGATTATATTTTTAAAGTTCATCACTACAATAAAAATTTGCACAATTTTAAACCCAATGAATAGACAGTATGAAATAGGTTACCGAATAACTAAATCATGTATACAATTTAGTGAATACTAAACACTATAATTGAATCAACTCATAGGTATATATTTTTTCTGAACAGCTAAACAATAATATTTTCTAAGCATTGTTATAAACAATACATTAACATATTTATCATCAGGTAAAGGAAATACCTATTTTATTTTCCTATAAGTATTAAATATTTATCCATCTTGTTTTGTGATAATAAGCGTAAGTAGTCGAAAAATACGTTTTTTGAACCTCGTGTTGAATTGTGTTACTGAAATTATCAAAAAATCATTATCTTTGTTTGTTTTCTTAAAAATTATTGTTTTGTATCTGACTGATGTGAAAATCCAATAAAGTTATATCTATTCTTTGAAAACATTTTTTGGACAGTGAAAGAGATATAAAAGTTTTTATAGGATATTTATTAAATTGGTATTTGGACACAGATGGTATTTGGAAATTCGAATTTCGAATACGTTATAGTTGGAAAATTCCCATCAGTTTTCTAGATAATTGAGAAAAACGAGTTGCAAATATTTATTTTACTTGATTTTACATGATTGTCACGTTTAAGTAAAAAATAACAGTCGAAACTACTATAAATATCCCTATTCTATTAACAGATAAAAAATATTTTTAAATTTAACATATTATGATAATTAAAAAAATTTATAATTTGTTATCAGTTGTTTAAACGGTGAGCTTAGCTGCAACTAATATTATCATTGTTTAAACATTTAATAGTAAACCATACTTGTAATTAACTTTTTTATGTAATTTTTATCGTTGATACTTAATTTTTTTGATCCAACGATACTAAACGTTCATCCATTCAACGAACTCTGTTTATTTTATAGCCATTAGCAATTAATTTTAGAGTTTTTATCATAATATGTTTTTCTACCAGTGTATCTCCTCTTAAACGCAGAGCAGTTTATATTATGATGAAGCACTACGACATATTAGTTTCAATAGGTAGTGAACAATTTTTATTTATTTTTCATAAAAATATATTATAATGTTTAATATAATACAAGTCTCAAATATACAGAAACAAAATTAAATGCCTCAATTGTATCTAATCAACATTTATATTAACGTGCCAGATAATATTATACTTTAATACTTTATAAACGATATATAATGACCTATGTTTATTTGTTGAATTTTTCAATAAAAAAAAACCCTTGACGGGCATGACCATTGAGTGGTGTGGTTTGAAGAACGATTTAAGTCCCTAATGTTATTTTTAAATACATGTGATATGGTATATTACAGCAATTATTTATCCCTCACATACGAAATGGCATAGAAATGTGCCTCTGTAAATAAAACACAGCGTGAATAAAAATTGTTTAGCTTGAGATGTGAAACTATATTCAACATAATATTATATTTAGAATTGATTATACATCATATAGATATCATCATATACATCATATAGATTATACTATTATATTTATATCATTCAGTGTAGTCGTTAATGATGGATCATGTGTGATTACTCTCTCCCAAAATTACCAAACATTATTACTGCGAATAATAACATTATATACATATTATATCAAATATACTTTAATCTTGGTAAGTGTTTAGAATATTACAGTACTTGATTAGCTTAAATTAATGAACAATAGGTTTTTTGTTATTCTGTTCGAAATATGGTGTACAAAGAACAAATTTAACTGATGGATAAGTTGTCCCGTGGAAAAAATGTTATGTTTCTTCGTTGGACACAATGTGTACCTACTGATCGAAAATCCCTACGACACATTATTTTTACACATCTTATTCTTAACTTTAAAACCCCTTCACCTTTCGACATCTTCATTTTAAATCTTCATCAGTATGCAGTTGTCATATTTTGGGATCAAGAATGAAAAAAGTGGATTTTAGTTACTTATTTATAAAATTGAAATGTCTATCCTGTGCAGAGAATACAAAAATATACCACTAGTCCAACCCACTATCGATTTATGACACCACTAATAATAATTATATTACGATTTTATTAAATATAATATCTAAATCCCAAAGTTTTAATTTAAATTAAAAATTTCCATTTCTAATATTTTTATCAATTGTAAATTAAAAAAAAAGAACATGTTTGAGAATATATTTTCTGTAAAACTATGGTCGTTAGTTCTTATATTTAATTAATTGTTATTGCAGGTACCTAAGGTAATCTGTTGGATTAGTAAGGCTCTGGAACATGTAAGATGGTTACACGGGCTGTATCTTAATCCTTAATGTCATACCGAGTTTGAATTATTAAGATAGTTATACCTACTTATTATATTATTATTGTACTTATAAGATATTATGGAAAGAGAATAATGAATCATCCATAACAAACCCATTATAATAAGCTATTATTCAATAACGTATTCTACATTGTGACATGAATTTTAAATGTGTGTACATATTTTATGAAATTAAATGTAAAATAATAATAATATAATATGTATATTGAATAAACAGTGATAAAATAATATATCTATTTTTGAAGTTTAAAATTATTGACAAAAAAACGTATACATATAGTTATTATAGTTATTGATAACCATATTTTATTCAATTTTCCAAAAAACAGATTTCAAAATTCTATGGTATTTCAAAATACCATGGAAAAGTCACGTTTACATTCATAATTATGCTTAAATGAATTACCACCCCAAATGTCAAGTTTAAAATTATTATATTCTGTATATCGACAAAATAAACTACATGTATTTAGTTTAAAACTAGAGTAAATTATAATTTATTGCCAAAATTTTTTACGGTTTTATAAGCTACCGAACAATATAACTTCTCTTAAGTGCCACATATCATTATATGGATTCTTGATCCATAAATATGCCACGTGAACATTTTCGTGCACTAAATACCGATCGTTCATAACACGCAAAATAATAATAATAATAAATATAAATATATATATTATTTATTTAATATAAACGAAAGTATTTGGAATTTTAAATAACCGATAATTTAGTGGTTATAATGTTATACGTGTATGAGACATAAGTCTAATATATTATAGGTGGGATTTCCGTAAAATGTTATTTACCCTTACTCATCAATCATATTGAATGACACACAGTTTTTGGCCACTGATAAAAACTTGTCAGTATTTTTTGTCCGTCCTACTTACATGTTTAATAACATTATATTGTTACGGAGTTATTATTATAGTCTCCCTCGCGCACCTCTCTAAACGCTATAAATTGCTATTTAATCTATAGACAACACTAGAATCCAAAACTATAGATATGTTCGTACACCGACCAATGCCTGTATAGTGTATAGTTCTAATTAATTCCCATTACTACTAGGTTTTATAGCGATTTAACCGATACAATAATGGATAAGATATTTGATCGTATGTTTGGCTTATACAATGAATACCCATATGTGGCTTTGTACTCACTGTCTATTTTGCCCGGCACGGAACAGCCGTGATATCCAGCTTTCGTTTTAACTTGACAAGGAATTTTCGTAGGGTTTCGAATAGTTATGCTCTTTTCCACAGCTAAACATGTTATTTTAAAAACACAGTCATAAAATAGATCGTCTCCAAACTGTATTTATTATATAGGTAATTATTATAAATGTCTGTGCCTGTATTGCATTCGATGTCTTTAAACGCCATTACGGGGTGGTAGTGGTTCAGATCTTGTTCAATTTGTTGGACCAACGGTGCGCATAACGGTGTGTCACGTCTCGGCCATTCCCCAAAACGCCATTTGGTCGGTTCCTGGTCTTCCGGCCTATATATACACCGCAATCGCATCCGGTCATTTTATGGTTTCCCTGTTAGCTTTTATCAGACCTTTTATGCTCAACGAGCTAGAAACTTTTATGCGTACTCGCTTAGTTGTTTACAGCGGTTATATAATTATTATGTGAGGATTTTTTTGTAATATTATAATAAAGATACCATAATATACAATTTGTGACTATGTAAGCGCAAAACAAACTTTCTGATTTAAATGTGGGTAGTAGGTATACACACGCGATAAAGGTGCTTCATTTTTTTTTTTTTAATTAAGTGAATTGATAACTTAGTTTAATGAAGTACTTACCTACATAGTTTAAAAATTTTAAATTAACAGCCAATATTAAAAATCGAGAAAGGATAATGAAGTATCATAATAATATAGGGCATACCTACATAACTTATTGTTGTTAAGGAACTCACTGTTGAAATTGACTTCACAATCTAATGAGGATTTGAAAGGTTTATAGAAATATAATATTGGTTCAGTGATGTTTTGGGTTTTTAACTAAAACTTTATGACTCGTCTGATATATAACACATATTTTTAATATTGTAACTTTACTCGATTTCATGTTCTTCTGCATTTTCTGTATCAAAATTATTTACATTTTTGGTTATTGAAGTTTGATTGCTTTCGGATTCTAATAATTCAAATTCTGATTGGTCTGTTTCGACGATCCATTGTTTTTTACTAACAAACGTAAATGATAAAATAAACAATGATGAATAGAAAGTTAAAATAATAAATTATTTTGAAAATTATTATTACATTTTGAGTTAATAAAATGTATACCTAAAGACGTATATTATATAAGCGTTAATTATATTGCTAGAAATCATAATCTCCAAAGTCTTTAGTACAATATACATTTAAATGAATACTCACTGCTATTAATGCAAATAATGCTAATTTCAATTAAGTCATATTAAGTTGGATAACTAACTTAGGTCTTAGAAACTTAATGGCTAATAGTAAAATACGATAAAAATATATTAAATAAAATTATGTCAACGTAAAAATGTAAGAAGTAATAACTAATGTGGTTGCAATATTAAAACTGAATTAATTATTGTGTTGTAGGAATACGTGGGCTCATATACCTACTCAAATAAAATAATAAAATATATTGCCTGAACAAAGAACCATTAGACATTTTAATCATAATAAAAGGGAAACAATGATGATCATACGGACTTACTGTTACATAATTTGTACATTATAGTCAAATTCCGAAAACTTTGTTGGATTTCAGTTAGTGCTTATTGTATTCAAAGATGCCGTTGACAGTAGGTACCGTGCAGTAACTTTTGTCAAACAAGCTTAATTTTAAGGTATAGATAAAAATAAAATAAATTACTATTGAATATTTACTAAACAAAATGATTAAACCTACTTATTGATACAATTAAATGATTATTGATGCATATGCCACTATACCTATAGATAGATCTTATTATGTGATTATAAAACAATGTATACCAAAAAAAAAAAAAAAAAAAAAAACAACAATGTCATGGAAATCAGAACTGTTGAATACAATTTAATATTGTTTAACGTATCATCATATTGTGCAACAACAACAACATCGTTGTTATTAATAATGTGCAAAATCACGACATATCATGCGATATAATTATTAACGAATCGGATATTGTTAAACAGTGAGGTGAGACTTAGGTCAATAGATCACGTCTTGTCTATAAGGCCGGCTTTTGGCATACTGTAGGTACTCTGGTACTACATTATAATATTACTGTCGTGTACGTCATGCGTTTAGTAAATGTTACTTATTACTAAAAGCAGTGTAGTCATTTTTGTTCATATCGATCTACAAACATAATCCCAAGCTCCTCGACAGTTACAATTAATAAAGTAGTTTTGTTATACGTTTATACGATATTAAAATTTGTTGACTAAATTACCGATGAAAAAAATATCAATGAGTTATTATGCTTACTTGTCTTGCCATACAATGCTGTATTCTATGTCCCACTCGTCTTCATAAGTCACTGTAGCACTGAATTCATATATCCAACATTCTACATTTATCTGCTGTGGTGCGAGTGCGTTGCACTGTACAAAAATCGGTATATGGCATTTGTTTAAATGGCCCTAAACAAAATCAATACGTCTTTGGTTCACGTGTCCTTCTCGTTAGAGATCAGTGTATAGCAATCCCTTACGCTTTTTTTCGGCGTCACAATAAATTCAAATTCAACGTCCTCGTCGCCATTAACGGTCCCACTACTGGGCTTAAACACGCAATCTATTTTATCCGCATCCGATCCCATTGGGTTGCCCCAAGAGTAGACGAAATCACAATGTGTATTATTGAGCAACCGAATTCCTTTGTGGCTGTGAGGTATGCCCCTGTAAAGGGACTCGGAAATGGTAATGGTGTTAACGTTCAAACGCACATCTGGGAGTGTCGCGTAAGTCATGGACTGGGTATGGACCGTCTTTGACCCGGCCAACGACCATTCAACTAATTGACACGAGATCCCAGTTGCCTAAAGGTTGACAAGATATTATTGTGGACGACTTACCACCAGTCAGTAGGTACCTGCCTCGGTTATTATAAATTAATAAATAGAAACGCCTCGTCCCTATAAACTAAATTAAGCAGGCTCGTATAATCACTTATTCGCTTGACTAGATACGAACACTTGAGATATTCCGCACCATTTAATTAAAACACTAGTCTGGAAGTGATTTTCACTTTGTGTATACCAAGTTTCAAAGTATAATTTAATCTTTTTAAGTTTTTTTTTTTGTCTTTGTTTAGGTATACAAATTCAGTATTATTCAAAAACTATAGGCTTTTTAGTTTAATACAATTTAATTTGCACTGTAATAAATTGATTATCAACAACAATACAATAATGATACTAAATGGTATTTATTTTATTACTGATTATAGATTATTTTTGATATTATATTTTAGATTTTATTGCTAACACATTATACTATATGTCAGGTAGATAAATTATAAGTTATTCTATTTGTACAATTTCCCTCTTGGAATATTACTTGAATTTACTTCTAATCG